CCCCCAAAAAAAAACCAAAAGCAAAAAACCCTTAACAAATTCCAAACATTTATTGATTGCAAATGGGTGCAGTGACATCTGCCTAAGTCTGTAAAATTCTGAGAGGTCTGAACTGACTACCCTGTTCGACTCATTGGGTTTCTGACTTTGAAACTTAGTTAACGTTGATACTGTATTTAAATATCAGAACCATTTCTCTACTGGTCACTTTAGCAGAAACATAGTGAAGGAAGATAATTTCATGGAGAGTTCATAAAATTATTAATAATTTGTTAGATTACTTGCCTTGTATTATTTTTACTTCCATCTATGCAGAAAACCTTTTTTTATTAAATCACTTTTCAAGCAAAATCAATGGCAGTGAGCAGCATATTGCTCCATAAGGGTCCTGCCAGAGCTTTAATCCTTTTTTTAAACCCTGATTTACATTGTATGTCAGTTTAGCTTACTTGGTAGCTCTCACCTCTGGGCCAGAAGGTGAGGCGCTCAAGTGTTGCGCTAAGACTTTGAGCTTGGTGCCGATTTTGATAATGCAGAGCAGTAAATAGTATAAATATTAATTTGTATATGCCTATAAGTACAGGCATCTGGGAGATTTAAAATATAATTAAATATAATAGAAAACGTGATAAAAATAAGGCCGCTTTCTAAATCCTAGAGCACGAACACCTTCCATCATACAATAAGACCACAAACATGCTTAATGTAAGAAACTACTAAGTCTTGCAACTTGTCCTGAAAGATGTCACAGATATATTTGTCTTATGTTTAGGGAGTGTTCTGGAGTTCTGCAATAAATCTTCATTGGAGAAGGTCTTGCTTTCCATCATCTCAGGATTAAACCTGGGCTTTAATAAAATATAGTACTCTTGGTGTACACAGTTGAACAGATATATAAGTCAAGTCTTTGCTCAGAAGAGCTTACAATTTAAATATTTTACTATGTTGATGTTGAAATAAAAACAATGCCATTCTACCCTAAGCTGTGAACCCTGCGTATCTGCTCCGTGCAAACTGCATAAGTAGATGCTGATAAACCAGGAAGTTTCCCCAGCCCCCCTGTGGTGCATTTTATCCAAGTTGAGCTTGAGAGCTTGTCTAAACTCAACTTTCACCAGTTTAATTCCACTTAAAATTGCAGCTTCAGTTAAACTGCTTCTACTTTGTGTAGACCAGGCCTTAAATTGCCAATGGACATCTGCTCTGGGGGAACCATGGGAATGCCAGGGGAGGACGGAACTTTTGCTTTTTATGTGTATTCACTGTTTATATGCCAGGTTGATGAGAAATAAGTTTAACTAAGAGCCAGTTTTTTCTCCAGTCCATCCATGTGCAAAATCACTTCTGTGGTGGTTAATGTAGAAGGAAAGAGATATGGATTACATTACCCTAGTAGTTTCTCTTTTCAGCCATCTCTCTGTAAAACACTATGTTGTTGCACTGTATATTCAGTGTTAAAAACTTCTTGCACACTTGTGTATAACTAAGCCTGAGCTAGTCAAATAACGCTCTCTTGGGTGTGCCATACTGTGTTTAAACAGTCTGGGTTCTAGAAGAAAATATTTCCAATCCATATCTTGGCTCAATGAATAGCAGTACTGCTTACTTGAGAGGGTGTAGGACTAGGAAATTATCCTATAAACTTTGTGCTGAACCCAAAGCTCCCATGGTCAAGCAGTGGCAAAGAATCAAAATTAGGATTCTTTGCAAACGAAAGCTGTAACATTTTAACAGATATGGAACTGCCTATTATGATCATAGTTAATGATGTGGGGTGGTGGCCAGTTGTGTATTGCAGATTTACACTTCAGGCTGGTAGTGTGATATGGGCGGGGGTGAGGGAGAGCTCCTATTACTAGACAGGAGAATGTTAAGGGAGAGAGGGGAGCATAAGATCGCCAAATAGAAGACAAGATGGCTGAATCTTTTTCTTAGCAAATGTATATATTCTCTAATATGCCTCTTTTAATCTGACTTTGCTGGATCTCATCATACATACAGATTAGAGATGGAGAGTGCTTTTCCAATCAACTCTTAAATATTACTTTGAAAATTGAAAATGCTGATGCAAACCATTAACTTCCCCCTCTCCTTTTTCTTCATTTATATACTCCAGGAAGTAGTCTTTGTGGTTTGCCATTCTTACTCGAAAAAAGTGTCACAGTTTGAATGTACTCAAGTATGATCACTTATTATATTAAGCACCATTCAGTCCCATTATTCTGAGATTAAATTGCTACTTTTTTTATATAATGGTGTTGGGTATTTTTTAAATCCACCTTACCCCAACTGGAAATTTCAGTCTGCTTTTTTGGTATATATTATTTTCTTTAATAAGAAATTGAAGGGTTTGTCGCATGCCCCCCCCACTCTCCCTCCCCCCAAAATCCTTCATTTTCTCACTTCATGTCTTGTCTTTTTGAAAGATTGGAATGTTCCTATGCATGATACTTACACTCCCAGTAATAACTGAGCTAACACATTACCTAAGCATAACATGTCAAAACATGGGCCTGTGCAGTTACATTGGAATGTAGCTCTTTAAGGGTGGGGTAAGGGGAATAACTGTCATTTAAGGCATTTGCTCACTTAAGAATAAACAAGGGTTTTGTTGAGGAGTGAAAGCAAAACAAATACCTGGTTACCTATATAGCTTTATGAGCTACCTATATCCCATAAATTAGGTTTAGCCAAGGTCAGTAAGTACAGTAGTTACAACACAGGCATTTTAATATGACCTGAATTGCACATTAGTAATCTTTGTATGGAGGTATACCATAGGGTAAAAGGTAACTAATTCAATTTCCTAGGCAACAGTGTTGCATTGTAGTGAGTGCAGGTGATGACCTTTTCTTTTCAGATTAACCATAGTACACATTCTTTGCAGCTATCATCAATGTTGATATTTCTGGGAGTTTTGAGAGAGATGAAATGCTGAAATGATTTTTTTTTTTTTTTAAATACCTTCATTGAAGGTGGTTGAACTGTTTCACAATCAAAGAGGTTATTGTAGAAGTCTAAGGATACCTGGAAATTCATAAGAACAGAGGTGTATGTTCTGGAGAAATGAAGCAAATTAAGCAGCATTTTTTAAAGAAGTGTCTGTCTTTGAAACAGTGTAGGGCTCTAGTGTAATTTAACACCTACTTCATGAAGATGTGATTAAAACAAAATCCAGAGATTACATAAACATGCATTTCTATTTTTTCCACCACATTCCATGGCTTGCAAAAAATGATTGAAGTATTTTTAAAGGAGTGGTACATGAAGACAAAAAATAGAAGAATACATGTATGGAGAAATGCCACAAAAATAGTGCTTTGAAAAGGAGGCAAGACAGTTAACCTCATCCCTCAAATTAATTCCTACCTCTTCTTCTAACCACAATCATTGTACTGAAGAATCTCAGCAGTTAACAGATGTTGGGACTCTTATTTGATCTTTGGCTGTGAACAGTGCTGCATAGAAGAACAATGTTCCTCTCGGACAGTGTTTCCCAAACTTGGGACGCTGCTTGTGCAGGGAAAGCCCCTGCCGGGCTGGGCCGGTTTGTGTACCTGCCGCGTCCGCAGGTCCGGCCAATCGCGGCTCCCACTGGCCGCGGTTTGCCACTCCAGGCCAATGGGAGCTGCTGGAAGTGGCGGCCAGTACATCCCTCTGGCCTAGAGCGGCGAACCGTGGCCAGTGGGAGCCGCGATCGGCCGGACCTGCGGACGCGGCAGGTACACAAACCGTCCCGGCCCACCAGGGCCTTTCCCTACACAAGCGGTGTCCCAAGTTTGGGAAACACTGCTGTAGGAGTACCATGTATATACTCGATCATAAGCCGGTTCGTTTATAAGCCAATCCCCCCAAGATGGATAAGTAAAAATGGAAAAATTTTATGACCCGTTCATAAGCCGACCCTATAGTTCAAGGGTCAGCAAACTTTGGCTCCCGGGCCATTGGGATAAGCTGCTGGCGGGCCGAGATGATTTGTTTACCTTGCGTCCACAGGCACGGAGGTAAACCTAAGTAAACAAAGTGTCCCGGCGCACCAGCGACTTACCCTGATGGGCCGGGACAGCAACTGGTGGGGAAATTTTTCTGGGGGGAGATGCTGGGGGTCAGGGGAGTAACCCCTGTGACCACCCCCCACATGGCCCTACTCCTCGCCTGGGACCCACACACTCTCCCTATCCCATCCCTTCCCACCTTATCTGGGGAGGATGTGTCTCGGCCTGCTCCGGCGGGCTAGGCGGTGCGGCCGCGGCCTGCTCCGGCGCGGGCCAGGCGGCGCTGCTGGCTTTGCTCCCTCTGTTGGGGGGAGGGGCTGTGTCCCACTTCTCCCTCTCTATACCCTTCTCTGGTGCTTCCCTTTTTTTACTAAAAAAAATTCGGCTTATGAATGAGTATATCCTTAATGAAGACTATAGATTTCTAATATACCATCCAAGTTAAGGCTAAGGTGTGCAGAAGCAACTAGTGATTCTAGGTGCCTCAATTTTTCTGTAACCAACTTGAGACTCATGAAAGGGGTCTGATTTTTCAGAGAGTATGTTCTCAGAAAATTGAGGCTTTCAAAATTACTAGCCATTTTTTTAAAATCTTAGCCTAAGTCATATCCTGCATGAATGTAGCTTTTCCTCACCTAATAATTCAATATTTGTTAATGTGGAGCTAACAACTTCAAAATATAGTTAGGAAACAATTTCTGGTTAGGAATTATTTTGTTGTTGCCACGGAGAATGGAGAGAGTGAAGAATAACAGAGGACTAATTAAAATATCCAACCTTTCTTATTAAATATGAAGCTCTTCCTTGAATAAACGTCCTCTCTTGCATTCCAGAATCTGTTAGATTATTTCAGCTTTAATTTACAAGAGACTTTTCTGTGTGTATGAAACTGTTCTTGAGGCTGTGATATGATATTTTCTGTTATATTCCATGTGCAGCCTTATAAGACTTGTCATGAAATACATCTTAAGAATCTGCAAACTGAGTAAGGGAGAAACAGAATGAACCAGAAATCATTTTAAGCACTGTGTAAAAACCTAATTTTATTATAACAGCTTGAAAATTTATATATTTTATCACCCCAGGCACCAAATCTACTTGGTAACATTTTACTTATAATGTTGATAAAAAACAAAACAGTCTTAATACTTTTAATGAAAAGGAAATGCTTACTATGGGATAGTAGATGAGAATAATCCTTTAAGGCCGTATATAGTTGTTGCTTGCTTCAGAGTGAGACCGCAAATGCTGGGTATTTAAGTTTTCTGTAGCATGTCATAGGATAAGCAGTCATCAGATAAGAGGGAAGGTCCTCCCATGTATCGATAGCTGGCTAAAAGATAGGAAACAAAGGGTAGGAATAAATGGACAGTTTTCGAATGGAGAGGTAAATTGTGATATTCCCCAGGAGTCTGTACTGGGACCAGTGCTGTATAACATATTCATAAATGATGTGGAAAAAGGGGTAAAGCGTAAGGTGGAAAATTTGCAGATGATACAAAATTACTTGAGATAGTTGAGTCCAAAGCAGACTGCGAAAAGTTACAAAGGGATCACACAAAATTGGGTGATTAGGCAACATAGTGGCAGATGAAATTTAGTGTGGATAAAGGCAAAGTAATGCACATATAAAATATAATCCCAACTCTGTACAAAATTATGGGGTATAAATTAGCTGTTGCCACTCAAGAAAGAGAACTTGGAGTCACTGTGGATAGTTCTCGGAAAACATCTACTCAACGTGCAGCGACAGTCAAAACTAACAATGTTAGGAACCATTAGGAAAGGGATAGATAAAACAGAAATATCATAATGCCACTGTATAAATCCATGGTACGCCCACATCTTGAATATTGCATGCAGATCTGGTCTCCCCATATCAAAAAAGATGCATTAGAATTGGAAAAGGTACAGAGAAGAGCAACAAAAATGATTAGGGGTATGGAATGGCTTCCATATGAGGAGAGATTAAAAGACTCGGACTTTTCATCTTGGACTAAGAGGTGATATGATAGAGGTCTATAAATCCTTGACTGGTGCAGAGAAAGTGAATAAGGAAATGTTGTTTACTCCTTCACATAACACAGGAACTAGGGCTCACTCAATGAAATTAATAGGCAGCAGGTTTAAAACATACAAAAGGAAGTACTTCACGCAACGTACAGTCAACCTGTGGAACTTGTTGCCAGGGGATGTTATGAAGGCCAAAACTATAACAGAATTCAAAAAAGAACTAGATAAGTTCATGGAGGATAGGTAGAGCCCTGCACAGATATAGAAAATTTATATCTGCAGATATAAATTTTCTATGTGTGGCGCTGCAGGCTCTACTGGGAACCACAGTGGCGAAAGCAGCAGCCTATCAGGCCACCACTGCCAGGAGCCAGCGTCCCAAGCCGGCAGCTCCTCCGGCATGGCTGTACTGCCCCCAACCCCACTCGCTGGGCCAGGCACCAGGCTCACTGGCAGCTGTCCCTGGTTGCCCTAGTGCATTGGGCGGGGCATGACGTAAAATAAAAAGTTATTGAATTGCTTTCTAGATTTTTTTATTTGATTCTAATCACCATCATTACTTGAAATATTTCTGCAATAGTTTAAGGGCTTGTCTACAGTACTGCGCGGGGTTGATCTAAGATACGCAACTTCAGCTCCATGAGTAGCGTAGCTGAAGTTGACTTACTTACATCTACTTACTGCGGCATGTTGACAGCTGACGCTCTCCTGTCGACTCTGCTTGCGCTTCTTGTTCTTGTACCGATACGTCGGGTAGTGTAGAAAAACCCTACGTCTAGTCAAAAAGCTGACATTTACTTGTGTCCTGTGCTGTGCCCTGCTTCTTCCTGGTCTCCTGCTGGTAAGATACATCCTCATCAACTTTATGATTGAAGACCTTCCTCTTGTGCTGGCTAACCCTGTGTCTTCCCAAAGGCCCCACGTCCATTACTAAATACATTAATCCTTCTTTCCCCCCAAATAATGCTAGACAGTGCCCTCCCCAAAAATGAATTTATGCTTACCCCACAGAGTCTGTTGCTGCAATGGAACGAGGCCTTATGCACATACTACCCTCTACTGAGGTGTCATGAAGCTGAGATTTCAGTCCTCCTGTCCCAGGCCCAATTTTCCAAAAGAAGAGCAGTAGGCTAAGGAGCAGTGATGTCCTGGCAGGCTGAAGACCTGTGAGAAGCTCCCTGCTACGTTGTTGGAGGTCTCTTGTACTGGGGTGGCCTTGCCAAGATCGGTCTCCCAAGCAGAAGGTTAGGTGTATTGGCCTCTGTCATCAGCCATCCAGCAGACCACATGGTGAGCCTCCCCTCTTCCCATGCGTCGTACTCAGAATAGCAGTAGCTGCTCAAGCTGAAGAGGCAGCTGGCAATCTCCCCTCTTTCTAGTAGTAACAGTCATCTACCACTATTGTTTGCAGCATTGTTGTAACCCTCTTGGTCCCAGGATGTTAGAGAGACAAGGTGGGTACCTTTTATTCGACCAGCTTCGGTTGGTCAGAGAGATAAACTTGAACTCGCACAGAGCTCTCCTTCAGGTCTGGGCTGAAGGAAAACTTGAACTGTGTAAGCTGGAAAGCGTGTCAATTTCCCCAACAGCTGTTGGTCTAATAAAAGATCTTGCCTCACCCACTATGGCTAGTAGCAGCAGCAGCAGTAGCTTTGGCACAGTCTCTGCAGAAATAGGAAGATATGACTGCAGAGATTTTAACTTCAGTTTGTGTTTGAAAAGTTTTCTTAGCATGTATAAAAAGGCTAGGGAACTCTTTTTAAAGAGAGACAACATCATTAGCACATGTGCTCCAACACTTTCATCCACCTCTGAATTAAAGGATTTGTTTTATCAGCAACTCAACAGTATCATCAGCAAGCTACCACAGGTGAGGGACACTATCTACTGGGAGACTTCAGGACTAGAGAAGGCTCAGATCACGAGATGTGGCTGCTATGCCTTGGCCACCATAGAGGGGGCGAAACTGAACAACAGTGCGCAAAGACTACTGGAGCTCTTTAGCCTTTGAGGACTGTTTATTACCAACACCTATTTCCAAGGTGGTCACTACTGGAAGGTCTTGTTGAGATATCCCACATCTGGACACTAGCACCAATTGGATTTAATTGCCACCCACCGAAAACACCTGGATGTTCTCCATGCTTGCAGTTTTCATAGTGCAGACTGTGACACAGACCATCCGCTTGTATTCTGTAAATAAAACTTTCATTAAGGAAACTCCATTGTACCAGACAAAGCTGTTGCCCTTGCATTAATATCCATACACAAAAGACCAAAGGTCGTGTCTCCAATTTACTTTACTTTTCAGGGAAACTATGTAATTGATTGTATTTCCCTGAATGCTGATGCAGCATGGAACACTGAATTTAAAAAAATCTATGTATCTGCAACCTTAGCTTTTGGAAAAGACTGTACTGCCAATAAAGTCTGGTTTGCCACATACTCTGGAGAAATGCTTCCAGTTATTAAAGCAAAGCTCGCAGCATATCTCCACCACAACATGAACCCCTCTCCTGAGATGTGCTAACCTCAGAATGGCCAAGAGCACATTGCAACAAACAGCAAGGCAATGTTCTCACTCAGACTGGCTTGGTCTGTGCGAGAAGATACAAATGTTCTTTGAGAATGGAGATCTAAGAAGTATATATGATGGAATCAAGAAAGCAAGAAGACTGCTTCATTGGAATCTCTTAATGCAGACATCATCATTGACAGGAGCAAGGAGATGGAACTTTGGATAGAACAGTATCACAAACTTTATTTACATGAAACCACTGTTTCTGAAGCAGCGCTATATGCACAATGACTTGCTTGCCTGCTGGAGGGAAGGAGTGGTACCATGGAACATGAAGAATGCCAACATCATAATGTCTAAAAATAAAGGTAGTTGAAGTAATTGCAACAACTACAGAGAAAGTTCTCTCCTTAGTGTTACTGGCAAGGCATTCTCATGGGTCATCTAAAGAGCTAATGACTTGACAGTTTTCTTTTCCAACTATTTTGATTTCAGGAACTTGGGTTTCCCACTTCACAGTTAGAACACGGTGAAGACAGTAGATATAGGAGGTGTTTAGCCTTGTCTCATGACTGCTCTAGGAGACCCAAGTCTTGCCGTCATACAGCAGTGTGCTCAAAACGCACATCTGGTAAACCCCTATATCTTGGTGTTCACGTTAGTTTTCTGTTATCCCACATTTCTTGGTCAGTTGGCCGAATGGTGGTAGTTGCCTTTCCAATGCAAGAATTAAACTCCCCATCTAGAGATAAGTTAACCAAAACACTTAACCCTAAATAGCAGAACTTGTACACAACTTCTAGCATGGTGTTAGTTACACTCTAGATCAAACGAAATTATGAGCTTGGTGCAGAAATACTGGGTGAGGTTCTGTGGCCTGAATTATGCAGAAGGTAAGGCTAGACCATAATTCTCTCTTTTGGCCTTATCTGTTCTTTAGCTCAGAAACTGAAGTTTGCATAGAAGCAGCAGTGTAACTCACTGTGATCTAAAATCTACTATGGGTACCTGGTGACTTCCAGGTGGAGTCCTCACCCCAACTCTGCCCCCTCCCTGTCCCCAGGGGGTGCAGGAGCGGTGAGGGGTGTGGCAGGGGGGAGGGGTGCAGGGTGTGGCGAGGCCTCAGGGCAGGGGGTTGAGGTGCAGGAGGTGTGCAGGGTGCGGCAGGGGGCTCAGGGCAGGGAGTGCAGGAGGTGTGCAGGGTGCGGCAGGGGGATCAGGGCAGGGAGTTGGGGTGTGGGGTGCAGGAGGGGGTTGGGGTGCAGGGTGTGGCAGGAGGCTCAGGACAGGGGGTTGGGGTGCAGGAGGGGTGTGTGGGATGTGGCAGGGGGCTCTGGACAGGGAGTTGGGGTGCAGGCAGGGTGCGGGCTCTGGCCCGGCGCCGCCTATCTAGAGCGGCTCTGGGGTGGCAGCGCTATGCACCGTGGCAAGTGCAGGCTCCGTGGCCCCTGGCTCTGCTCTGCTCCGCTCCAGGAAACAGCTGGAGTCCCGGGGGGGCGGAAATGGTGCCATGTGCTGCTCTTGCTGCTCCTCCAGGTACCTCCCCCAAAGTCCCCATTGGCCGCGGTTCCCCGTTCCCGGCCAATGGGAGCTGTGGGGGGCGGTGCCTGGAAGCAAGAGCACGGAGCCCTCTACTCCCCTCCCGCCCTGCCTGGGGCTGCAGGGACATAGTTCCAGCCGCTTCAGGGAGCGGCGCGGGGCTTGCGGCGCCATGGGGTAGGCAGAAGGGCGGGGGGGGGCACAGGGAGCTTGGTGCGGCCTGCGTGTTTGAGACCCCTGGTCTAGCAGTTCATCCAGGAGGTTGCTGCATAACCTTAAAACCCTGTTGTGATGCTGCCTTTTAATCAAATTTAACTTGCAAATTTGGGAACACAGCTAATGAAAGTTTTTACAGGTCTGATATTGATTTCCATTACAGCTTGTTGAATTTAGCACTTGAAGATAGTCACATTATTTCTATTAAATAGTATTAAGGGTGCTTGTGCTTAATATTGTACCTTCTTGTACCCTGATTCTTGTGGAAGATAATACATTTTGTGATTCTGTATAGATTTCAATAATTGTTATGCCTGGAAATATAAAGTTGAGGGAATTACTAAAAAGGGCATGCATAATTAGAAGAAAACATCTAAAAACAATTTCCAGGCTAGATTTCTGAGCTG